TTAAAAAACAAAAATGAAAAAAACAAAACAAAAGTGCAAGGAAACTGAATGAGATCAGATAACACATCCTATAAAAAAATTTAACTTAAACATTTAAAACTCAAAAATTAAAATTTGACATTTCTACATCTTTGGTGATTCCTCTTGATACATAATTATAACTGATGCACATATTTATATCCCCCCAGCCTCTCACTCCTACATATATATAATTCCATCAATAAAAATATTACTTTAATCTGATGAAGTCCTTCTAGAGGACGAAATGCATTACACAAAATATTTCTATTTTGTTATTCAATTGCCTAAAATAAAGTATGTCAAAATTAATAAGAAAAAATGTTCAAATATTTTGACAATCTGCTAGTATAACATTTATTAATAAAATGAGCAGCAGAATAATGTAAATAACGATATGATATACAATAATATTAATAATATATTAGTGTTATAGATAATCTTTAGATATGTACATGAAATAAGATCTGAAGTAGAAAAACAAAAATAATTTTGATTTTGATGCATGCTAATAATAATGAAATTATTAATAATAATAACATACTATGGAATATGAATATAGAACTAATTCCTGTTGTAATTGGTGCACTTGAAATACCACCTAGAAAACTAAAAAAAAAAAAAAGACTTGAATTGGAATTGACACCAATTGTTGTGGCCTTGTTAGGGCCAAAAATAAAAACACAAAGAGAGGAACAGAGTTAAACAAATATATTAACAGAAACAGTAATACAAACAAGAGTGTTACAGCAAGAATGTTCGGTCTGTTAGAGCTGACTGCTGGAAACTTCCCTCTCCCAAAAAGGCAGTTCCTGCTCCTATTTATAGCTGGGAGAGTCCGTGTATATGTGGGTTAATTACCATAACAATTACAGATCTCTAAAAAACTGCCATCATTTACTCTGTAAAGATTCTCCGAAAAAGTTGTGAGGAGTCTTGTTGACACCACATCTCAAGAAGAGAATTTCTGTTGGTTACATCAATGTGTGACATCAAAATAAAATACAGTGAAGCCATAGATAATCCACTTTTCATAGATAATCTTTAGGTGTATACAGGAAATAAACACTTAAATAAAAATCTCAAAAAAAAAAAAACTTTTCATATACCCTAATATAGAATACTAATATTAATAATAAAGTGAAGTTATAAATAGTCTTTAGATAGGGACATGAAGTAAGATTTGTAGTAAGACTGTAAAAATCAAAATAATTCTAATAAACCTTAATAAATTAAAAAAATTCAATCAAAATTGTGAAATTCCACAGAATCTGTTCATAAGACATTAATATTATCTTCTGATACAAATCTATAAGTCCTAGCAGAATTCATTATTAGTGGCCAAAATATGCAGATGACACAGTGTTGATAGCAGACTCATAAAAGAAAATACAGGAACTTCTACAGAAGGTAATGAAGGAAAGTGAGAAGAAAGGACTAATCATCAATTGTAAGAAGAAGCTGAGAAGGGATTATCCATTATGAATTGCTTGAACAGAACCAAATGGTCAATGTGGAACTCTATGTTCAACAGATGGAACGACTCAACATGAATATTCAAGAGAAAAGACCTAATCGGCAACATGGAGTTCTTTTGCTGCACGACAATGACTGCAGTCATATTGCCAATATGACTTAGGAAGCCATTCAAACACATTGCCAATATGACCAAGGAAGCCATTCAAATGCATGTCTGAGAAGCACTGCCATACCTGCTGTACTCTTCTGATTTGGCACCAACAGATTTCCACCTGTGTCGATCTCTTTCATATGCTATGTATGGAGTTTTGTTCAGTACTGATGCAGACTTGAGAGCTTGGTTGGATGAATTTTTTGAGTTGAAACAGGGTGATTTCTATCAACAAGGTATTGAAAATCTTGTTGAACGTTGGGAAGAAGTTGTAAACTTTACTTTTTCCTTTTTTCATTTCCTTGTGTCTGAATAAATTGAATTTTTATAAAATTGGTCTGATGAGATGGACGTCCGAATCCACAAAACAAATTATCACCAGACCAAATGTATTTTTAAGGATTCTGTATTATATATATATATATATATATATATATATATATATATATATATATATATATGATGACTTTGATTTTTGTGCTAGCACAAGCAGCAGTTTTGTCTACCCAACTTCACTCACAAGGCTTGTATCAACCAATGGTATGTTTTTTAGGTATTTTCCAAATGTGCCACACATGGCCTGAAGATTGCATTCAAGCATCAAACAGATTGTTCAGACATCTTGTATTTACACAAATTCTACCCCAGATATTGAGCACTTTTATTCTATAAATATAGCATACCTTAAGACTATATTTTATCATATAGACATATATATATATATAGTTTATGCAAATTTAAGTAATCCGTATGGGTAGACCTGAGGACGATGATATCCAGAGAGCTCAATGTAAAATTCAGAGCAGATATGTTTGAATAAAAGACAGACTACGTTAAGATTCCATGTAATAAGCTATTTCACCATAACCCCTTTAACAGGGTTCTGGATCATCAGACTTTACTTCCAAAAGCTGAAATGAAAAATGAAAAGAAATTCACACGTTTTTTATGGACCTCATCAAGTATACGCAAAGTTAATGAAGTGAGGTGGGAGAGAGGATATGAGTGTGTCATATGTATCATTTTAAAGGGGTTATGGTGAAATAGCTTATTACATGGAATCTTAACGTAGTCTGTCTTTTATTTTATATATATATATAGTATAAAAATGAAAACTTGAGTAGTGACTAATGTAAAATTTGTCAAATACTTAGAAAGATAGCAGTCAGAAAAGTAATCTTGTTTATTTGTGATAGAAACCAGCTGAAATGAAGTAGAAGAATAACTTGAAGAACTAAGTGTAAAAATAATACAAGAACTAAGTGTAAAAATAATACAAGAACTAAGTGTAAAAATAATACAAGAACTAAGTGTAAAAATAATACAAGAACTAAGTGTAAAAATAATACAAGAACTAAGTGTAAAAATAATACAAGAACTAATAAAAAAATAATACAAGAACTTTGTAAAAAAAAAGAACTAAGTGTAAAATAATACAAGAACTAAAGTAAAAAAATAATACAAGAACTAAGTGTAAAAATAATACAAGAACAGAAAATAATACAAGAACTAATAAAAATAATGTAAAAATTTGTAAAAATAAACAAGAACTAAATTATTAAAAATAATACAAGAACTGTAAAAATAATACAAGAACTAAGAATAAAAATAATACAAGAACTAAATTAATAAAAAAATAATACAAGAACTAAATTGTAAAAAATAATACAAGAACTAAATGTAAAAATAATACAAGAACTAAATTGTAAAATAATAAAAGAACTAAGTGTAAAAAAATAATAAAAACAAGAACTAAGTGTAAAAAAATACAAGAACTAAGTAAAAAATACAAAGAACTAAGTGTAAAAATAATACAAGAAAAGAAAAACTTTTAAAGTAAACATTTGTCAGCTGCTGTCTCAAAGTAAGTCATTGTAATGTGCAATAAAAAAGCAAAAAATAAAATATTTTTATGAAAATGTGCTTAGAAATTAGGAGTCAAATAATCATTTCTGTAGCATAGGTCAGCCACAACACGACTCTTTGTTATATGTTAGTTACTTTCAACCATAGAACTTACTTTTGGTTATCATCTTCTTCTATGTGCCATATCCCTTCAGTACATTGGCAATCATGACTCTCCACAATTTCCTATCCTTTGTAGCTCTTAGTAAATTTAGTCTTTTTGTTATCTCTCCTAAACCCTGTTCTGCCATTAATTTACACAAGTTCACTAAGTAGGTTATGCATTGTTTTCCCTTGTCCCTCTTGCCTTCAATCTGTCATGTGAGTATCAAATTTTCCAAGCCCTCTTTTCTCATTATGTGCCCCCAAAATTTAAACTGTCTTTTTACCTTTTTCTAACCATCCTGAAAATGATGAAGTATGTGATACGGAAAAAAGTTAATATATAGATTTTGTGTATTTTACATACACCTAAATCTTATGCTTAGAAATCTGGAAAAAAGTATATACGATACACAAATAATTATGGTACTTCTATTTGCAAATGCCAGATTAAATTTATAAATACTTAACAACTGAATTACTTTTAGGTTCATGGCAGAATATTTGAAATGAAGCATTATAATTATTATACGACTTTCCATTTGACCTATTTTGCCCATCTACATTGTTATAATCACAATATTTCAGTTGTTGTACTCTTCAGCCTCCTATATATACTGTATTTTGTAATTTCAAGCCAAAATCTTTATTCAATCCACAAGGGTAAATTGTTCTCATTCTGCTTTCCATGCATAGGGGAGATAACTCATATCAATTAACAGATTAATCAGTCAGTTAGTTATGTGCCATGCATGATACATGCTTAGGTGATCATGTATCTTTCAATACATGACTGACAATGCAGATTTTTTTCCCACAGTAGGTTGCCATTTCTTTCTGCAATAGACCAGTTGCCATCCAAGGTTATAGAACTCGGTCTATCCTGCTATTTGCCCATAGTTGGGGGCGGGGGAGAAGAGGGGGATTCCTACCTTTCCCAAGGGTATTAACACGTAAGTGAATGTAATGGATTCAACTGGAATTCAAATTCAACTCTCTGATTCCTCAATCCGAGCTGTTATCCACTACTCCACCGTGCCTCCTTGTATTAATGTATTGGTCACATTAGTTGATTGATTCATTTTCTACAGTTTATTAACTATTTGCAGTTTGTTTAAAGTCAAAAAATATTTTTAGAATGTAAAATATTTTTTTGAGATAATAATGATTTAGTGATACAAGTCTTACTATTTAACTCATAGATGAGGGGCAGAAGAGGTGGATTCATACCTTTCCCAAGGTTATTTGCACATAAGGGAATATTATGAACCCAATGGGAATTGGAACTGAACTTTCTGATTAACGATTCCCAGCCATTATCCAATACACCACCTGCATATCCAAGCTTACAGCACCAGTTATTCCCAAGTGGTCACCCATCTAGATACTGACCAGGCTCAACATTGCTTAACTTTGGTGATTGTTTAGGGACCGGTGTTTCAATGTGATATGGCCATAAGCCCACATTGATCAAAGTATATCTGGTTTCAATCTCTGGGTTGTGTAGAAAAGTCATATAAGCAACTGGACAATATCAACTGATACAAGATATCATCTAAGCATGAAAATGAAACAATGATTGAACAAAGATTACAGTGTTGAGGTGATGAGAGTTAACTTGTAATGCTAAAGAATCACAATGTGTAAGTGGTATTTGTAGTGGTAATATTAACCATTTCCTGATAAACATTTAGCATTCATTGACTACTGTCAGTTGAAATTTATAAAATCTTTCTCTTAAAACAATAGGTTTCTTAAATTCAGTAGCTGCTATCACTGTTTCCAGTATTGATAGAGGTTTCCTTCCTAATCATTTATTTGGGGTATTTGTCAACATCTTGATTATGCCATTATTTTCTCATTACATGTGCTATCCATTTTAGTTGTTGCTTCTGTTGAAAGTCCTTAAGTGATGTGGTTTCTGTTATTTAGTTCAGTTCTTTGTAATTCTTCAGCTCTAGTCCACAATAATCAAAGAAGGATGGTCTTTGCAAGGACCATAGGCTTCACCCACAGAAAGCCATTTTTAACCATTGATCTAGAAAGGAGTTGTATACAGCTGATAGTTTAGATATTTGTAAATGGCTTTAAAACAAATTTTTAAATTCTGTTGCGGTTTAAATACAAATAAAAAATGGTGCACATGCATGCAGTATCATGGTTAGTGACTCAAAACAAGAAATCAGCATGTTTGTTACATTTACTTTTGCACAAATACACTTGGGAAAGATATCAATCCATCTCTTCTCTCCCCAGCTATAGGTTAAATAGCAGGGTAGATTGGTATCTCTTGCTATGATTAGCAATCAGTGTAGGAGAAGGATAATTTTGAATTCAAAACTGTATATAGCCATTGCATAACGCATACTATAAACCCATCAACAAGTTCATGGAGTTCACAATGACCCCTATAATATAGACTATAGTTAACTTACAACTGCATTGATGCATTATTATTATTATTATTATTATTATTATTATTATTATTATTACTATTATATGGGAAAATGATAAATGTTAATTTTTCTTTTCAACAGTTCAACAGGTCAAATACCAAGAGAATTTATCTAACTTCTGTTTCTTGAAATGTAATGAAATATTTGTTTCATTATTTTTAGACATACTTCAAATTTTTTGAAAAGATGGATAGACAAAGTTTAAGAAAAGAAATGAATAAATAAAAATAAAAGGAACATTAATGATTTGCATGATTAATAAAGATTTTCCCAATTGAAATTCAAGGTCAGCACAGTAAAAATGTACCTCTTCAATTAGTGCATTACCATGAAGAACTGGGTGACTTGAGTGAGCTACTGAAATCAGTTGGGGTGTTTTTTTCCCCAGGTTCAAACTACCCAACTCTTTATTAAAGATTAGCTGGCGTCAAGAAGGTGGAGTTGTCTGCTCTTTTTGACACAATATCTCTACTTTTAAAATCTAGAGTGCAGTAAAAAATAGAAAACATTAAGTGGGATTAAATTAAAAAATATAACACAGCAATTAAGTAGCCAAAGAAGAGCAGGTAAAGGATTTGATTTTTTTTATTAGGCGAACAATGCTTAAAACTTGTAAGTAGAGAATAGATAATATCTTTGTTGATCATTACTTTACATTACTTTTGGCTAAAACTTTGGTATAAAATTTCATTTTGTTTATTTCTCCAATTTATTTTTATGGGGGTTAGAACTTTCAAACAGTTGAAAAAACAGGTGGGGGGGCATTGACATTCATACTTTTGTTTCTGTAATAGGTGCCTAATACAGGTAAAGAGACATTTATTTATTTTAGGTAATTTTCTAACTTTTCCTTATTAAGTTCATCCTGTTTATTAGTTTCACACTTTTTAACCCATTATATAATTATATATATGAAGAAATATACTCTTAAGGTGTGCTATATTTATGTGATAAAGTGCTCAATATCAGGGAAAGAGCGTGTGTAAATATAAAAGTGAACATAGAAGTCAACACTTGCCTGACGATTGCATATAGCATGAAACAGACTGTCGCCTCTAAGTGTTGACTTCTATGTTCACTTTTATATATATATATATATATATATATATTTAACCCATTATATAACCCCCCCTTTTATTAAGAACCTCTTACTTTCTAAATATTAAGAAACAAAATCTGATCTGCTCCCAATTAATTAAGACTCCCCCTTATATTAGACATCTCAGAGTATCTGTTCATATATGCCTGTGATATTTTAATGAAAAGTAAATCCAGTATATGATAAATGTTTGTCTTTGAAAACAATAATTTTAATGAAGTAAAGTAAAATTTAATAAGTTGATTTCTTTCGGTCATTGCGGTTGATTAAATTATTGAATTTCATTTACAGTTAGAAGGGAGAGTGAAAGAGATTGAAGAAAAAAAAAAAGTATTATTTTTATCAGTTATAGAGTAATGACATCCATATTGTGAAGTCCTGATCAAATTATTGGCAGCCAAAATTTAGCTGGTTTACATAATGCTAAAAATGGCAAAAATGCAGAATAAAGTTGTTTAATAATTTTAATTGCAATTTTAGATTTTCACATGTCGAGTTGGTAGTATAATAGCCAACCCTCTTTTTAAATCAGTTTTGAAAAAATTTGTTTCTTTGTTTCCTTCTTGTTTCAAAACATGTGAACCTCTGTAGGTCATCTTAGTGCTGAATCGTTTCATATACTTAGGATTTGTAAGAATTTTTGTAGTTTAATTCTTTAGGAGATGAGTTTTTGCTTAAAGAGGTTCCAAAGAAAATTTGGTGGGGGTGGGATTGTGAGAGATTACATCATTGTGTAAAGCCCAGCCTGTATTATACAGTTAAGGATGTTATTCATGTTTGTTTGTCTGAAAAGCTTGTTCCTGTCTCTTACTTTTTATAGAATTTTTTGCAGATATGGTTAAAGTTAGTACAGGCTATAAGTATGTGCTTGATTGTATATAGTTTTTGGCATGCTGTACATATTAGAGATTCCTCATTTTTAAGGAAAAAGGAATGGCTTAGGGGTGTGTGGCCAATGTGAAGTCTAGCTAGGACTAACTCTTCTCTTCTTATTTTTCTATATCCTAGAGGCCATCCACCAATGATGGGTCAGATTTTTTTGAGTTTTGAAAATATGTTTGTTTTGTTCCTCTAACTTATTGTATGAATAAATGTTTGCATATATGAACATTTGAAGCACATGCATATCTTAAAAATATAACAGTTAAATAATAGTAGCTGTTACTTAAAAGTACTTCATTAATTCTAAAATCCAGTAACATTGGTAGCAACAGGCTGAGATTGATAGACTGATATCAAACAAAGATTAGGAAACCAAGAGAAGTATGTAGATAAATATTAAATGTAATATTCAATAGATACCAATTGACATATTTGTTGAAGAAGATAGAATTTCACACAGGGAGAAAGAGTGTAAGAGAGAAATACACAGAAAATAAAGTGACAGATGTTACTAGGATAGAAAGCTATAACAAGTAACAGTGTTGAAGAAATAGGTAGATAGATTAAGTGCAGCCTGATAACCAGGTGCAAGTAAGTGGACAAAGATGAGTAAATAAAAATCTACAAATTAACTAACTGATTACAGACATATACTGTTTATAACCCTTGGGTTGGTGCTTTGTGTGTCATTTCTTTACTAATCATTTCAAACCACTAACATTTGTGAGTCTAGCTCAGTAGTAGTGCATAAGACTACAAGCAACCAAGTTTGGGAGTGTGATGTCTCTGGTGCAGTGTCAAGGAAATTTTGTTGGTAATAAACTGTTGTGCACTGGTTAAAATACTAATTCTTTCATATTTTCACAATCTTTGTTGTTTTATTTTTCATTTCATACTTTATAAATTTATATGTGAGCATAATATAATCGTTATTTGCATATAAAGTGGGAATTGGCTTATTCTCTTGTATTTAATTTATATTAATACCCTTGGAAAAGGTATGGATCCATTTCTTCTCTCTTTTGGTACAGATTAAATAACAGGGTTGACTGGCCTCTCTTGCCTTGGATGGTAGTCAATCTAGAAACACAATTCTGAATTCCAAACTGTGGAGAAGGCAGCAGGAAATTCCTCCACTATCATTCCCAAGAAATCTTGACAATTCACATATAATAAAAAATGGAAGCTGTGGAGAGACATGACTGCCTACATCCTGAATAAACATGGTATTTAAAGATGTATCAAATTCAGAATTGCTAATCAAATATCAATGTTAGTTTAAATGACAAAGGAAAATTGATTTTGAATCAGGTAAAGGAATCTACACCTTACCAGTTAGAGTAATGCTTCTAAAATCTGCAATACACACAAATTATTGCACACACACACACACACACACACACACACACACACACACACACACACACACACACACACACACACACACACACACTCTCAAACTGTTCATCGATGCAGCATGGACAACAACAGCAGAAAAAAACAAAAATAGATATAATTATAAGAATTGTTCCTTATAAAGAACTGAAATAAAAAAAAACTACAGTAAGAGAGAGAAAACTAGAAAAAGAGAAGGGTAAAAAAAAGTGAGAGAGAGAGAGAGAGAGATAAAAAAGAGAGGGATCAAAAACGTACAGGAGAGTGAAAGATAGAAACCTATCAAAAGAGAGAGTGAGAAGACATGAGGTGTAGACATTTGCAGATGTCATTCAGAGAACATCTTAATTTGTCAACTTTACCCATGCCACAATTAAGGATGGGTTAGCTCAGGCAGAGAGTGGATGTTTCAGCTACTCCCCACACCGCACTGTTGCAAAATTCTAATGATTCACCTATTCAGGTATGTTTTACCTGTGTCAGCTGTCACTGCCCAACCAGCGGCTGGCCTATACAAAGCAGCACAGTCACCTTCACTCAGACTATTTAATAATGATTATTACCTCTGATTCTTTTGTGTTTCCATTTGAGGGCCTTACCTGTGTTTAATTGAGAGGAAATTAGTGG